TACAGCTGTCCCTGGATCTGCCCCTAAAAGTAATAATGGAGGTGGCTTGCTGGAACAGCAAAGGGCCCACTGAAGAAAATGGCTTCAAACGCACAACTTACCCAGTCATTCTGGAAGAAAGGCAAAGTCTCACTCCCAAAGAGGTCCAGCTTCTAACTGCAGCCAGTCAGAAGTCTGGGTTTGGGGGCAGGGAGGGGTGCACTGATGCACTTGCACCCCAGTTTGATTCCTGGTCACCCAATATTTAAAACCAACTGTCTGGTTTTAAAGCATTTTAAGTCAGGCAGTGCTAAAGGAGTCACTTGTCTTCATGGCTCTTTATAATATACCCGATCCCTTCTAAATTCTTCATTCCAAAGGTGTTAACACCCATCTCTTCTTTTTAATGGTCTTGATGTTCCACAAGTCAAGCTATCCTTTGTTCTGCAGTTCTGCTGTCTGTTAGCTGCTCCTGGCAATGAAGTTCTGACTACACAGCCTTTCAGATTGTTTTAACTCATTCCAATGAAATTATATTTGTTTTTGTTTCAATCTTAAACTGAACAATACAGCCCTAGGCTCCTAACATATTAGTAAAGCTTCTAGTTTATTTTTAACTAAAGAAGAACGTGTGTTGTTTTATGTGTGATAATGCACCTCATCATCTGCACCCCTCATTTCCAAATTCTAGATCTGCCCATGTCTAGATACAAGCTTATCATGTTTGTAGTATTATCATGGCACCAACCTTGCCCTGTTTGCCTTCATTCTGTGGCCGCAGGATTCTCTAGGTGGGGCCAAGATAGGAGGAAGCATCCTGTGGAGATCCCAAGCCCAATTTGTTCATCCCCATGAGATTCCAATTTGGGTTGGCTGGTACAGACACAAATGGCTGAAATTTCCCCAGCTTTGATTGACCAGTCAAGTCTCCCTCTCCCTCCACCTCCCTGCCCTTTCACCCAAGCCCTTCCGCTCAACTACAAATCCTCATCTATGCCAGGGCCTTACCATCAAACTTGACATTGAGCATGAAGTCCTTGTAGAACCTCTTGCCATTGACGGGCTTCATGGAATCACACAGCTTGGTGGCATTGGGGCATAGCGCCTGGTGCATGTTATGGAGGGAGTGGGCCATGGCATAGACTGCATTGACCACAAACATGATCTTGGATTCCTGCTCGAATTTGCCTGTCTTCAGGGAGTGCCGGCTGCAGTCCTGGGTGTGGAAGCTGCACTGAAACTTGTGCTCCCAGAACTCCCGGAACCAGGGGTTGCGGCTGTTGTTGTAGGGGTCAAGATTCCGGAAGTAGGTGGCAAACTCCTTTATGGGGTAGGCTGCTAGTTCAATGGTGATAGCTCCCTCTGCCACTGGCTCACTTCCAGCCACCACGCTCTCCAGGGCACCCCAGCCATCACTGGCCACCCACGTGAAGGAGACATTGATCCTCTGTGCAGCTGCCAGCAGCTCCCGGGCATCTTCACTCCTGGTGAAGAGCACCACCACCTTTGCACTGGGCTTCTGTAGCAGGGCCTTGATCACCCCGTCAAAGGTCTTCTTGTTCATAGAGCGGCCCACCTTTTCAGAGGTGGCAATGCAGATGTTGCGAGCACGGGCTTCCTGCTCAAAGGCCTCGATGCCTGTCTCACCGTAGTCACCCTCTGAGGCCACTGTGGAGACATAGGTCCAGTTGAAGAAACGCAGGATCTCAGCCATGGCCTTGGCCTGGTAGAAGTCTGGTGGAACAGTACGGGCAAAGTAGTCATAGCGAGACTTGTCGCTGAGCTTGGCACTGGTGGAGGCATAGCTGACCTGTGGGATCTGGAAGAGTCGCAGCAGATTGGCCACCTACATTGAAGATGAGAGGAGGGAATGAGTGAAATTACAAGGTGTGCATAGGAGGGGGGGGGGAAGGGAGGGGAGAGAGACAGAGAGATAATGTATGCCCTGCCCCTGTTTGCTGGAGAGATCATTACCATCCGTGAGGAACACCCCAGCTCTCCTGGATGTCTGGAGGGGAGGAAGCTTGCTCCTGAAGGTCTTTATCTGAGCTCCTCCCAGCTCTAACAATTACAGTGCTATACACTGTTGGCAACATTCATAATCTATTGCACTGTAGGCACAGAGATGAGGATGACCATGGGAAAAACACCCATCTGAAGATCCCTGGTGCCCAAATTGCATAGCATTAATCCATGCATTAGGAATGAGACAGACAGACAAATACAGCTTCTTTGGCTGCACTTTATCTTCAAGGTACATTTATAAAAGGCTTGTAAGCAAAGGATTGACAATGTCAGAAGTATGTTATAACATGAGGTGTTATTGGTGGTTATCAGTGCATCCTCATAAGGTGCAACAGTTGTTTTTAAGCCAAGGTAAAAAAAGACTTACTGGTCTGTTGCCCTCTATAACCATTTATAACAACTTATCGATCATTTACTAAAAGTCTATGAATCCTTTGCTAACTTTTGCACTGGGTTCTGCCCCAGGGCCCTTTCTCATTCTGGTAATCAGAGACACTTCTTCTCAAGCACTTATTGGAAACATAGCTATATCCCAGCATATCATGTCTGCCAGGGCATCAGACAAAATCCTCCCTTTTAAATGCAGTTTAGCTCTGAAGAGTGACTTTAAAAAGTGCCCTTATAATTCAGTGACTCCTCTCACAGAGTGTCATGATTTCTGGCTTGAACGGAAACAGGAGTCTCTAGCTCTTTGCTCTGAAAAACAATCACAACAGTGATGTCTGACTTACACTTCTACAGGCCAGATTTTATTCCACCTATTAGTTATTTAAGTGTAAGTCTATTTCACCTGAAAAGCCATGAATGCCTCTATTTTTGTAACATCCTCTGACCCTTAGATCTGAGTGACAAAAAAAAATCAGGGAGGAGGAGGAGGAGGGAGCCCCACCCACCTTTGGATTTGAGCAGGTAGAACAGAACCGCACTTAGGCACCTGAATCCACTTGTGCACCTAAGAGATGGGACAGATTCTGGCCCTCAGTGCCCACAGGGAAGCACCACTCCCAGGGAAGGGCCAGGAAGGAAGGAAAGGAAGGTCCAAGACCCTCTGCATTGTCCCATTGTAGTAGTTTATATGGCAACAGAGGTGCTGAGTACATGGCCCGAGGGTCCTGCCCCCCTTTGGGAAGAGGGCTGTCACCTGAAATGTGTAAAACCTTCCACATGTCCATCATCTTAGGCCTCTCGCCCCAGCAAAAATAAAAGTTAGGTGCAACATAGTATGGCAACATAGTATCATGATACAACATTATCATGCAGGGAGAGGAAACAGCAGTTCACTGGGACCAAGAGAAAGGGAAGAGGAAGAAAGACTAGGCACGAGATCCTGCTCCAGGAACGTAAGTAAACCAGGGCTGTCTGTGTGTTTGACTTGCTGAGTTTGTTTGGCGGGCTGTGTCTTCGGGTGTGTGCTCTGAGCAGCTGGGAGAGCTGCTAGCTGAGTGTCCTGATTGCTGCCTGTGTCTGACACATGCCCTAACAAGGGGGTGGAGCCAGTCCAGACCTGGCAGGGTATAAAAGGAGACTCCCCAAGTAGCCAGGGAGTGACTCCACAAGTGGCAAACAGGGACTGCAAACAGGGCAGTCTGCAGGTCAGTTTGCCATCCCCCTCTTTGAAGGAAAGCCTTTAAGATAAACTATTTCTTTAATTAAGAGTAGCTAACCTGCATATATTTCATGTAAGTAGCTAAAGCTCAGCAGTTAGACCAAGGATGGGCAATTATTTTGGGTGGAGGACCGCTTACTGAGTTTTGGCAAGCCATCAAGGGCCACATGACAGGCAGCCAGGTGCAGATAAATATTAATTTTCTAATTTTTTTAGGGGCCCTGCAGGCCGGATAGAATGGCCTGGTAGGCTGCATCTGGCCCGCGGGCCGCATTTTGCCTGCCCCCGAGTTAGACCGGTACTTAGGCCCTGTTGCTTAACTAGAGTCTCAAGTGAGGGCAAGGCCAGATTAACCCTTTAGTGGGCCCTAGGCAAGCAAACTCATGGGCCCTGAGCCGGTCGAGACCCCTTTTCCCACCCCAGTGCTGCCACCCATGGGAAGCAGGGCTCAGAGCTGCTGCTAGGAAGCAGCTGCAGTAGCAGTGAGGCCAACAAAGGGGAGGGAAAGGGAAGGGAGGAGGACGGGGTCATTCGTGCCACTGCCACGGTGAGAAGGACCAGCAACCCCTCCCTCTCTGCCCTCCCTGTCACTCAGGGCCCTGGGCATGTGCCTAGCTTGCCTATGCATTAATCCGGCCCTGAGCGAGGGGAAGTCTGCTAGGGAGTTTGCCTGGAAACTCTCTCTCACCTTCCTTCACTGTAAGCTTGTTCAGAGGAAGCAGGCAAAAGAGAACCTTTTAGGATCAAGGAGCAGTGAACAGGCCAGTTTACAGGGAAGTTTGCTAGGGAAGGCCTACTCAGAACAAGGCTTCAGGAAGAGAGGTGATGGGCTAAGGGACCCAGAGTATGGCTGGAGGACGTTGCAGTACCAGAACCACTGCCAGATCCTCTTCTGCTTGCACCTGTGACATGTCTGTCCTGGTAGAAACACTCACCGTCGAGGCTTCCACCCAGGTCCTGGCTTGGTGTTGTGGAGACTGCAGCTTGCAGGTTCCTTCCAGTGACAGCCAGGTGGGGAGCGCCTGTGATGTGAGCGGTGCCTCCTGGTGGTGTCCCTCAGGGAGCAGGGAAGAGAGCTACAGGAGGTAGCAAGGCTCCAAAGCATCCTCCATTGTGAGGACTTCATTGATCCAATGTTGGAGAAGACCTCTAAGATTGCAGAGGTAGAGCTGCCAGAGACAATACCGGAGAAGGAAGAGGACATGGACTCCCAGGAAGGTGGAAGTTGGAAGCTCGTGACCTCTGGCAGCAAGTGGAAATCTTCGCCTTCACCTGCAGCAGTTTGCCTGGAGTCCTAGCAATAGAAGAGCAGCAGCATCTTCTGTTGGTGGAAGAGCCCAGGCCAGGCCAGGCCTCCCCAAGGTTGGGAGGATTGAGACCACTGCCACCAAGAGGAAGCAACTCATAGTGTTGGTTGGTGACTCCCTTCTGTGGGGGACGGAGGCATCTATCTTGTGGCCTGACCTGTTGTCTCAGGAGGTCTGCTGCTTGCCACAGAGCCCAAGATGTCACAGAAGGATAACCAAGACTCATCTGGCATCTGACTACTACCCCATGTTGCTCATCCATGTGAGCTCCAGGGATACTGCCAGGGGTGATTCTGAGCAGATCAAAAGTGACTGCAGGACTCTGGGTGCGAGGCTGAAGGGGCAGATGGTGTTCTCCCCAATCCTTCCAGTCAAGAGGAAGGGCCCAGGTAGGAGTGGACACATCCTTCAGATCAATGCATGGCTGCACAGATGGTGTTGTCAACAGAGCTTTGGCTTCTTTGACTATGGGATATTGTTCCAAGAAGAAGGATTGCAGGGAAGAGCCAGGATCCACCTGACAAAGAGAGGGAAGAGCATCTTCACAGACAGGATTGGTAACCTAATGAGGAGGGCTTTAAACTAAGTTTTTCAGGTGATGGAGACCAAAGCCCTGAGGTAATTGGGGAAGTGGGTGACTTGGAGAAAGCACAAGCTGGAGGGGGCAACATGGGAGGTGCTCTCATTCTTCTTGAGAATGTAGAACAATCAGCTAGTTACCTCATGTGTCTGCACACAAATGCATGGAGCCTAGGAAACAGGAAGAAATGAAAGTCCTTGCACAGTCACGGCACTATGATGTGATTGGAATAACAGACTTGGTGGGAGCTCGCATGGCTGGGGCATTGTCATGGATGGGTATAAACTGTTCAGGAAGGGCAGGCAGGGGAGAAGAGGAGGAGGAGTTGCACTTTATATAAAAGAGCCATATGATTGCTCAGAGCTCCAGTATGAAACTGGAGATAGGCCTGGTGAGAGTCTCTGGGTTAGGGTCAGAGGGGAGTCCAAGAAGGGTGATGTCCTGGTGGGTGTGTGCTATAGACCACCAGACTAGGAGGAAGTGGTAGATGAGGCTTTCTTCAAACAGCTAACAGAAGTTTCCCAATCACAGGCCATGGTCCTCAACGGGGACTTCAATCACCCTGACATCTGCAGGGAGGGCAATACAGCAGTGTGCAGACAATCGAGTACATTTTTGTAGACTGTTGGGGACAACTTCCTGGTGCAAGTGTTGGAGAGGCCAACTAGGGGCTGTACTGACAAACAGGGAAGAATTGGTTGGGGATGCAGTAGTGGATGGCAACTTGGGCAGCAGGGACCATGGGAGGATTGAGTTCATGAACCTAAGGAAAGGAAGGAAGGAGAGCAGCAGAGTAAGGACCCTGGGCTTCAGAAAAACAGACTCTGATTTACTCAGGGAACTGATAGGCAGGATCCTCTGGGAGGCCAGTCTGAGGGGGACAGGAGTCCAGGAGACCTGGTTGTATTTTAAAAAAAACTACTGAGTGTGCAGGAACAAACCATCCTGATGCACAGGAAGACTAGCAAGTATGGCAGAAGACCAGCTTGGCTTAGCAGCAAGCTTTTCAGTGAGATAAAACACAAAAAGAAAAGCTTACAAGAAGTGGAAGCTTGGACAAACAACTAGATAGAAGCACAAGAGTATTGCTTGGGTATGCAGGGTGAAATCAGGAAAGGCCAAAGTACAACTGGAGTAGCAGCTAGCAAGAGATGTAAAGGGTAACAAGCAGGGTTTCTACAAATATGTCAGCGACAAGAGGAAGATCAGGGAAAGTGTGGGTCCCTTACTAAATGCAGGAGGCAACCTAGTGACAGATGACATGGAAAAGACTGAAGTACTCAATGCCTCTTTCATCTCAGGTTAGGGTCTATTTAGAAAACCTGGAC